AAGAGGAGCAACCGGGACAGAATCTGGCGCCCCAACCGAGACTAGAACCCAGTGTGCCGGCGCCGCAGGCGGAGGATTAGCCTATTGAGCCGTGGCGCCAGCCCTATATAATTTTTTTTTCAAAATGCACCCCCAGCGGGGGAGGTAGGGGCTTTAAGATTTATTTATTTGAAAGAGTTACAGAGAGAGATAGAGACAGAGAGAGAGGTCTCCCATCCACTGGTTCCCTGCCCAGATGCCCACAACGGCCAGAGCTACACCGATCCAAAGCCAGGAGTTAGGAGCTTCTTTTGGGTCTTCCATGTGGGTGCAGGGCCCCAAGCATTTGGGCCACCTTCTATTGCTTTCTAGGCCATAGCAGAGAGCTGGATTGGAAGAGGAGCAGCCAGGACTCGAACTGGTGCCCATATGGGATGCTGGCGCTTCGGGCCAGGGCTTTAACCTACTGTGCCACAGTGCTGACCCCTCCATATGATCTTTACATTTAAGGACTTAAAAGTATTGGTAAGCCTGATTTTACATAAGAAAATAAAAGCTCAAATAAAAGGGTCAGTGAAGAATCAGCCATGAAAAATTTCAAACCACACCACAGATTTATGACTTTATGTGTTGTGTAAGCTCAATTTATTGACAGTCTTTCTCTTACCTAATTCTATTAATAAATATCTTTTGATTTTCATAAAATTGAAATTTTTCTTTTTATTTAAAAGGGGCTGATTCCTGCTAATGCACCTGAGGAAGCAGTGGTTAGGTCCTTGCCACCTACGTAGGTGGAGACCTGGCTGTTGCAGCCACTTGGGGAGTAACCAGAAGACAGAGGCTCTCTGTGTCTCTCCCTCTTGTTCTCTATTGCTCTGCCTTTCAAATAAACACATCTTAATAAAAGGGCAGCTGAGTGGCGTGGCTGTGGGCCTCTCCCACCAACACACTCCCAGGCCCTTCACAGGCCCCGGGCTCTCGCTCCTGTTCACACTCTGCCAACTGCAGTCAACAGCTCCAACCATGTACAGCAGACAAATTTGATCAATTAAAAAGAAAAGTAAACGTGGTTAGAGAGATAATTATTACTAAGGCACCAATAAGAACAGATTTTGAATACTGGAAAGTTTCTGATGTTACCTCCCCACAGATAGGTGTCAACTTTTATATGGTATCCAAGTGAAAGGAGCTATCCATATAATTTCCCTAGTGCCCTGGCGGGGTAATGTAATCTTGGGCTGCAAATCTGTTAGAACTCTGCTTGTTTTTGATATTATAACCAACCCAAAAGTGGCTTCCTAAGTGACATTAACTCCAAGCTCTGGTTTGGTGCCAGAGTTGGTTCACCTGCCAATTACATCTCGAAGTAACAACTACAAAGAACATTGAAATAAGGCAGTTTAAAAACCCCATCGGCCAAAGAGAAGGGCTTCACACCCAGCAGGAGAGGCAGGTAATCTCCTTCCTCACGTTAAATCGACTGGCTTGATACTCCTGCTAATCAGTCCTAAACACACAGTTCTAGGTAGGAAACCATTTCGTTTGTCATTTATTGAAGGAGGCTCCTTCTGCTCAGGTTCCAAGCCAGCAGGAACTCACAAATCTCTTCCTCGGAATGGTGTTTCTTGGATCAGGTTTGTTCTGAGTAGATTTACTTATTGATTTGAAAGGCAGAGTTACAAAAGGAGGCAGAGACAGAGAGACAGACAGAATCTTTCATCTGCTGCTTTACTCCCCAAATAGCCACAACAGCAAGGGCTGGGCCAGGCCAAAGCCAGAAGCCTGGAATTCCATCTGGTCTCCCACATGGGCGCAGGGTCCCAAGGACTTGGGCCATCTTCTGCTGTTTTCCCAGGTACATTAGCAGGGAACTGGATCAGAAGTAGAGTAGCCAGGACTTGAATTGGTGCCCCTTTAGGAGGCCAGTGTCATGGGAGGCAGCTCAACCTGCTGTGCCACAATAAAGGCACCTAATTTGGTTCTTAAGTCTCTTCCATTTTCAGAAAAATCTTTTATAAAATGCAAATGCTCTCCAGAGAGGAGCTATGGTTTAAATAGCAGTTACCACCTTACCATCTATCCAAGAGTTAAGAAATGAATGTTTAGCTTAGCGGTTAAAATGTCCCAAATAGAGTACCTGAATTCAAAAAAGAGTTATGGCTCCTGACTCTGGCATCCTGCTAACGCACAACCTGGGAGGCAGCAGATGATGATGGTTCAAGTAGGCTACCCATGTGGGAGACCTGGATTGCAGGCCTGACTTCCAGTCCAGCTTCAGCAGCTGCGGGCATTTGAACAGTGAACCAGCAGATGGGAGATTTCTCTCTCTCTCAAATAAATAAATAAATAAATAAAATTTTAAAAAGACAGAGAGGTCTTCCATCTGCTGGTTCACTCCAGAAAATGGCTACAACGGCTACAGCTGGTCTGATCTAAAGCCAAGAGCCTGAAGCTTCCTCCAGGTCTCCCATGTAGCTCCAGGGTTCCAAGCACTTGCGTCAACTTCCGCTGCTTTCCCAGGCCATCAGCAGGGAGCTGGATCAGAAGTGGAGCAGCTGAACTCGAACCGTGCTCATATGGGATGCTGGCGCCGCAGGTGGAGGCTTAACCTATTAAGCCACAGCGCCGGTCCCATAAATAAAAATTTTAACAATATATCTAACAGTTAAAAACAGCCTTGCCGTTATAGGAAACAGAATATATTTCTCTCTCAAAAAGATTCTATAGTCAAGGCCGGCGCCGTGGCTCACTAGGCTAATCCTCCGCCTAGCGGCGCCGGCACACCAGGTTCTAGTCCCGGTTGGGGCGCCGGATTCTGTCCCGGTTGCCCCTCTTCCAGGCCAGCCCTCTGCTGTGGCCAGGGAGTGCAGTGGAGGATGGCCCAGGTGCTTGGGCCCTGCACCCCATGGGAGACCAGGAAAAGCACCTGGCTCCTGGCATCGGATCAGCGCGGTGCGCCGGCCGCAGCGCACCGGCCGCAGCGGCCATTGGAGGGTGAACCAACGGCAAAGGAAGACCTTTCTCTCTGTCTCTCTCACTGTCCACTCTGCCTGTCAAAAAAAAAAAAAAAAAAAAAAAAAAAGATTCTATAGTCAAATACATTTGAGAAACACCCATAATATAGCTTTCTATACAATTCATGATGTACATTAGCATTAAAAAGGCACTGAAAGGTGGTATTGTGGGGCAGTGGTTAAACTGCTATTTGTTATCTGCAATCCATATAGGAGCATGGGGATTCAAGCTCTCTCACCTCAGCTAATGCACACCCTGGGAAGAAGCAGCAGGTGATGGCTCAAGTACTTGGTTCACCATCCATTAACGTAGGAGACCTGGATAGAGTTCTGGGACCCTGGCTTTAGTCTGGCCCAGTCCCAGCTCTTGCAGGCATTTGGGAATGAATCAGTAGATGGAAGACCTCTTTCTCTCTCTTTCAAATAAATGAAAATAAATAAAAAACAACTTTAAAGCCTCTGAGAAGTCCAGCAGAAAATTTTAAAAAGTATTTTCAGGGCCGGTGCCGTGGCTTAATAGGCTAATCCTCCGCCTTGCGGCGCCAGCACACCAGGTTCTAGTTCCGGTCGGGGCACCGGATTCTGTCCCAGTTGCCCCTCTTCCAGGTCAGCTCTCTGCTGTGGCCCAGGAATGCAGTGGAGGATGGTCCAAGTCCTTGGCCCTGCACCTGCATGGGAGACCAGGATAAGTACCTGGCTCCTGCCATCGGATCAGCGCGATGCGCCGGCCGCAGCGCGCCGGCCGCGGCGGCCATTGGAGGGTGAACCAACGGCAAAGGAAGACCTTTCTCTCTGTCTCTCTCTCTCACTGTCTACTCTGCCTGTCAAAAAAAAAAAAAAAAAGTAAATCAATGGTTAATGATAGAGCACAGAAGAGACCTCTGGGGTGAGGGGCATTAGGAGGGCTGAAAGGACGCAGGAAGGCAAAGCTACCTCTTTCCTACTTTGTAATTGTTAAAAATGTCACAAGGTGGGCGCTGTGACAGAGTACGTTAATCAGCACCTGGGATGCCTGCCTCTCATCCTGGAGTGCCTGGGATGGAGTCCCATCTCTGCTTCCAGTCCAGCTTCCTGCTAATGTGCCTAGGGGACAACAAATGATGGCCCAAGTTATTGGGTCCTTGCCACCCACATGGGAGATCTGGACAGAGTTCCTGGCTCCTGGCTGTTGTTGGCATCTGGGGAGTGAACCAGCAGATGGAAGATCTCTTTCTCGGACTTCTCTCTCTGTCACTTTGCCTTTCAAATACATCTATACATACATCTTAAAACAAAATATCATGTCATTTGTTATGGACCCCCGATTAAAAAAAGACCCTAAAGTAAAGACTGTATTATCTACTCTATAATTATTTGTCCTTTCCAAATTATACTCATTTCTAAAGTTTCATGTGTTCTCTGTACCACTCATTCCCACGTTGTGACCAAAAAATCAAAAAAAAAAAGAAAAAAAAAAGGAGAGAGGGAGAGAGAGAGAGAGAGAGAGAGAGAAAGAAAGAACAAACAGAAAGGGGCAGGTATTTTGCCTAGCACTTAAGTCACTGCTTGGGATACCTGTATCCCACATCTCATAGGTGCCTGGTTCAAGTCCTGGCTCCTCCACTTCCAATCCAGCTTCCTGCTAATAGACATCATGGGAGGCAACAGGTAATGGCTCAAGTATTTGGGTCCCTGCCACCCATGTGGGAGACCTGGAGGGAGCTCTAGGCTCCTTGGCTGTTGCAGGCATTTAGGGAGTGAACTAGAGGAAGGAAACAACCTCCCTCTATATGTTCCTGTCTTTTTCTGCCTTTCAAATAAAACAAAAATAAGTCAGTGAATAACAACAACAACCTAGAAAGTCTAAAAAAAAAAGAGAAGCTGAAAGCTAGATATTTCACAGGATTCAGACCTGTCTCCACTATGAAGAGTCGTTTGAAACTGGGAATTAAATGACTTGATGAATGGCTAGCCATCTTTATAAACGATCATTTTTGTGTTACTGTTATCAACTGCAGTTTAACTTACCAGCTCTGCAATTCAGCAAAAGCTTGCTTCATTTTCTTAATGGAAGCATCCATCTCTTCTTTAACTACAACTCGATATCGCGCAAGAGATACTGTGCAGCGCTGGAGGTCTTTTACTGATTTTTCAATATTGGAACCTTGGGAAAAAAACTCAAGAATTAATAAGAAAGAACACAATCTGACAGTTGAAGTGGAATGCCACATGGAATATGACTGCTTCCTCAGTGACCACCCTCCTCACAAAAATCTGACATCTCCATAGGTTTTCAAAAAAATAAGCATCCTGGTCAAGATGCAGGAACAAAAGTTGGATTTATCCTCCTCTCTTAAACAACTGAAACATACACATACAATATATGAAACTGGTTTTCAGACAATGGACAACACTTAGCACTTTTCCTCTAAGAAAACAAATAAATGAATGAGGCAACTGCCCCAACCTACTGCTTCAAGAGCCTCTCCAAGCTGCAAGGCAAACAAAAAATCCTGAAGTGAACCTGACAGTCTCATTGAATCCTGGGGACAGACAGAGCACGCAGAGCCAAGGCAGACAGAGTCCTGCAGAGAGCTATAGAAAGATGAGAACTCTGCACAGAGACCTACTGAAGATTCTAGTATTTGTAGTACTCAAACGGGAGAGAACCACTGGAAAGGAACAGGCAAGAGAATTTACAGAGCTCACCCAGGCCAGGGATCTGTGTCACACCAGCCAGAGCATAAAGACCCCCCAACAGTGGGGCACCACAAAGGGTACTGCCTCAGTAGTCAGGCAAACTTAGCCTCTCTAATTCCACTGAACAAACCTTAAAGGCAAGTCCCAAACTGTTCTCATAAAATGGAGTCCAAGAGTAAATCACAAGAATATTTAAAGAAATTTTAAAGGTGGGCATTTGGCACAGTGCTTAAGACATGACTCGGAATGCCCACATCCAATACCAGAGTGCCTGGCTTTGAGCCTCAGCTTCATTTACAATTCCAGCTTCCTGTAGATGTGCACCCTGGGAGGAAGCAAGATAGCTCAAGTACTTGGGTCCCTCCCACCCACACAGGAAACCCATATAGAGTTCCAGGCTCCTGGTTTTCGCCTGGCCCAGCCCTGACTGTTGTGGGCATTTAGGAAGTGAACCAGTGGATGGAAGATCTCTGTCTGTCTCTTCTCTCTGCCTTTAAGATAAATAAAAATATTTAACAACAAACAAAGCAAAATTCATAGCCAACAAAAAATTATCAAGAAAATAAATGGAAAAATATGATCCATACTGAAAAATCAACCCAGCAGAAACATGTAGATATGACACATATGGGGGCTGGCACTGTGGTGTAGCAGGTACAGCCACCGCCTGCAGTGCCGGCATCCCACATGGGTGCTGGTTTGAGTCCTGGCTGCTTCACTTCTGATCCAGCTCTCTGCTATGGCATGGGAAAGCAGTAGAAGATGACCCAAGTCCTTGGGCACCTGCAGCCATGTGGGAGACCTGGAAGAAGTTCCTGGCTCCTGGCTTTGGACTGGCACAGCCCTGGGCGTTGCAGCCATCTGGGGAGTGAACCAGCGGATCGAAGACCTCACTCTGTCTCTGCCTCTCTGTAATTTTGCCTTTCAAATAAATAAATAAATCTTTAAAAAAAAATGACGCAGATAACAGAATTAAGAAGATAAAAAATCAAAACCATAGTTAAAAATACCATATGTTTAAGAAGGCAGAGGGCAGCCTCAGCCTGTTAAGGAAAGACGGAGAAGATAGTTCACAAGACGCCAAACGGGATCCAGAGAGAAAGCAAACAGTATCTCAAATGAAAAACACACCACATGGATTTTAATAGTAGACCAGAAACACCAAATGGGAAAAAAATTAATGAATTTGAAGATAGTAATTTAAAAATTACCCAAAATGAAATGTAACACACAGAAAAAAAGACTTTAACAACAGCAACAAATTATATGAATATGTCCCAAACTGTCAAAACTCTCTAGACAACAGAATTTAATAGAATAATCCTCCCTATGGAGTTATAAAGTTCTCATTCTATAGTGTAGCCCTTAAGCACTATATGGTATGTGGAAAAGACAGCATTGCAAAAGGTGAAACACATTTACTTCCTAACACATTTTAACCAGTTTCTCAGTTTTCTACCTTTCTATTCACTGATGCCAAAGTTATCCATACAACTGTTGGAAGCTCAGGTCTAAAAAGCCCACAATTATGAAAAGATGCACCTTATCAAGTTTTAAATTTAAATTCTTCCTTACACCAACTTGACTTCTTTCATAAGTGGCCTAAAGGCTTTCAAGCCTTGTGATTATCCTTCCTTTTATTTTTGCTTGACTAGGTATTTTCAGGCTTGCTGGTCTGCTACAAGCTGAGGGTTAGTATAGGATAGGTTCACTAATTAAAATTTAGCTCAGGTGGGTTAAATAATTCAATAAAGAGCCGCAGGTTACAAGTGTTCTTTACATTTCTGTTTCATTTGCTCAGTGAAGAGGAGCAGATCACCACACTTATATGTATGAAACTCAGAGAGACTATTAATCTCTATTTAATTATTGGCTTTTATTTAAATGAATACTATTATTTAAAAAAAAACAAGGCAGAGCTGGTGTGGGGCACAGCAGGTTAAGCCACTGCGTGTGATGCCTACGTCCCATACTGGAGTGCCAGTTGGAGGCCTGGCTACTCTGCCTCGGATCCAGCTTCCTGCTAGGCGCCTGGGAGGCAGCAGGCGATGGCTCAATCAAGTACTTGAGTTCCTGACACCCATGTGGGAGACCTGGCTCCTGGCTTTGGCATGGTCCAGCCCTGACTGTTGTGGGCTTTGGGGAATGAACCAGTAGATGGAAGATCTCTGTCTCTCTGCCTTTCAAATAAATCAATAAATCTTAAACAACAACAAAGAGCTACCATTAGCCAATGTTAAGCACTTAGAAAATGATCTTTTTAAAACCTATAGTCTGTTAGACATCAGTGAGAACATGTGGTTGTAAAAATATCTCTTTGAAAAGTCACTAAAAAAGGTAAAGCCACAGCCTGCTACACAGGCATCCCATGTGGGCACTGGTTCAAGTCCTGGCTGCTCCACTTCTGACCCAGATCCCTGCTAATGGCCTGGGAAAGCAGCAGAGGATGGCCCAAGAGTTTGGGCCCCTATACCCACATAGAGACAGGGAAGTAGCTCTTGGCTCCTGACTAGCCCAGCTCCAACCGTTGTGGCCATTTGGGGAGTGAACCAGCAGATGGAAGATCTTTCACTCTCTGTCTCTCCCTCTCTCTAACTCTGCCTCTCAAATAAATAAATAAATAAATCTTAAAAAAAAAAAAAAAGTCACGTCAGGGGCCAGTACTGTGGCATAGCAGTTAAGCCACCTGTGATGCCAGCATCCCAAATGGGCACTGGTTTGTGTCCCTCTACTTCTGATCCAGCTCCCTGCTAATGGCCTGGGAAGAGCAGTGGAAGATGGCCTAAGTGTTTGGGTCCCTGCCACCTACTTGGGAAGAAGCTCCTGGCTTCAGTCTGGCCCCGCCTGAGCTGTTGCAGTCATCTGAGGAGTGAACCAGTGGATGGAAGATCTCTCCTTTTTTGTCTCTCCCTCTCTCTTTGTAACTCTGACTTTCAAATAAATAAATATTTTTTTTTTAAAAAAGTCATGTTAGAGATGGGAGACTTCTTACTAGTTCAATGAACTGGAAATAAAAATGAAGGAAACAGCACAAACATTGCAGTAAAGCAAATAAAGTAAACAGGCTGTCTTAACCGGAGAGTCATCCTCACAGGAGAGTTTGACTTCTAACTCACAACTACCCTGTAGCTGTAACAAGACTATTCCGTACACACTCCAGCTGGGTATACAGAGGCAGGAGGGGTAGGGAGTCACTGCCTGGAAAACAGAAAAGGTACCTGATACCCTTCTGAAACCTTATCAGGGACAACAGGAAATCTGCCCTTTTTAGACAAAACCACAGGTTTTTTATTCTTTCTTACGGAGGTCTCTGACTTACCCAGCTTTTTACTGGTGGAAGAAACTGGAACATCTTCCATCCCCAGAGCTGAAACCTGAGGCCCGCTGGTGGATCTGGAGGCACCTCTGGCAGCATTCTTGGCCTGCTGAGAGCTCTGAGTGGGGTGCAGGATCAAAGGCTTGCACTCAGAATCAGAGACCCCATTCTCCAGCATGGATCCTGTCCAAGGAAAAGGACAGTGTTTTAGAGCATAATGAAGGGGTGAGTCAACTCAACAGTTAAGCACACAAACAAGTAAAACCATGTCTCTTAATAATTGTGACAGCGCAGAACTGAGATCAAAATCAGCACGGTGTGGCTGTTGGTAGTTTCTGGCTTAGCCCTGCTAGGCACCCGAAGGAAGAAAAGCCAAGCATGTGGCCGACCCACATTCACACAATGAGCTCACTCCTGTATCTCAGAGCTTCCTTCTAGCTTGCACTATGTAGCTCTGGCACAAGATAGCAGAAACAGCACCACCAATTTCTCTGGATTCCTTAAGTTATGTTGAACAAAAAGGAGCTTCACACTGTTTCAGGGAAAAAAGAATCATAAAAGCTTCATGGGGTAGAGAAAGAGAAAAGAAATAAGAAGAAAGCTATCTCAGAAAAAAATAGAAGCCACTAGTCATCATTGGCTTATCTGAGGTCAGGGTAGGTGCAATATTTTTCTTTTTTATGTGTGTGAACTAGTTAATAAAGGAACATCAAAAAAGCGCAGCATAATTTTTACCCTGGAATCACATTTATAAAGCCAGGTGCAACCAGGCACAAGGAACTGGATTAACAAGTAACGTTTAAAGCCAGACATTCCCAGTGTCTACCCAGTCCTCAACAAAATGGCTGGCAAACAAAAAATGTACAAGACACGTGAATTTACAACTAACTCATATTGTTATTACCTCTTTATCAGAAAACAAAATGTGGATCTGTAAAAATCAACAGTCTAGTTCTTATGAAAGCTGAGATTTATTAGTTTAACAGTTATTAAATATTCCTCACCATTCGGGGTCTTAGAATAACAAAATTAACTATTCCATCATCATTTTCCTTAAGAAGTCTACAATTAAAAAATACATACACATCTTAGAGTCTTCTGCTGTCTCCAGAAGTACTCCTGTGCTTATGATGTTACAAGGTTTTCATAAGACTGATTTAGATTACAGCAAAAATATGAGACAACAGAACAAAAATTACATTTCTAGGCCTTTGACAATTATAAAACATGAATTTTTCCACATGAAAGGTTAAAAATAAAACAAACACACAAGAAAACTGAGAAGTGAAAGGCCAGGAACAGGTGATTAGCCTAGTGGTTGAGACACCAGCATCAGAGTGCCTGGAACTGAGCCCCGCCCCAGGCTCCTGACTCTGCTTTCTTATCTTGTCACCATGTGGGAGATGCTGATGGAGTTCCTAGATCTCAGCTTCAACATGGCCTAGCCACAGACACTGTGGGCCTCTGGGGAGTGAACCAGTGGATAGGAGCTCTCTTTCCCTCTGTGAAAATAAGAAACAAAACAAACCAGAAAAAGAGAGATGGAGGAAAGGAGGGAGAGAAAGAAGGAGGGAAGGAAGGAAAGAAAAAGTAAAGGACTAACTAGATTTATTGATTGCTTTCTCAACCAGGAGGCCTCTGTGTTTTCAAGTGAATGCAACTTTATTTTTAGATTCACCTATTTATTTTAAAATCACAGTTACACAGAGGTAGAAAAAGAGATAAAGGTCTTCCATCCACTGGTTCAGTCCCCAAGGGGCTGCAACAGCCAAGGCTGAGCCAGGCCAATGCTAGGAGCTTCACCGGGCTCCTTGGCAGGGCCCAAGCACGTGGGCCATTTTTTGCTGCTTTTTCTAGGCCATTAGTAGGGAGCAGGGATCAGAAGTGGAGCATGGCTGTTGTGGTCATTTGGGGAGTGAACCAGAGATGGAAGACCTCTCTCTCTCATTCTTTCTGTAACTCTGCTGTATAAATAAATGGATGGAAGGAAGGCAGGCAGGAAGGAAGAACTGGAGCAGCCAGGACATGAACTGGCACCCATATGGGCTGCTGGTGTCACAGGTGGTAGCTTTATTCGCTACACCACAAATGAATGCAATTTTAATTAACTCACCTGTTCTATCCAGTGTATCTGGCATGGCCGACTCAGGATCCTCCAGCTCTCTAGCATCCAGCGAAAGTGTCTCCAGACCCTCACTGAGTGAGTCTGCCGACTCAGTGTCATTGGTGGCACCGTTGACGTGGTAACCATTAACACCGCCTTTTTCTGAGGAAGGTGCAGACTGCTCCTCGTGAGTGGAAGCAGATTTGCTGGGATCTGGCATGCTGTTGCTTGCTTCTGCTGTAGGCTTTGGTTTGCTTTTCTTCTTTTTGTTCTAAGGTTATTAAAGATTTGAAAGGAAAAAAAAAAAGAAAAAGAAACCCCGCCCACAACCCAGAATGATAATTCTAGCTACCCAAAGGCAACTAATGTTACAATATCTCGTATGTTCTTCCAGGAATTGAAATTATTTTTGTGTATGATGAAAAATTGTGGCATATGCTTAAAATAAAATTTTATTATGTAAAATCCTACATTCTGGATACAAACACATAAAATATTTTTTCATGGTAAAATTTACCTTAAGCAAAATCAAAAGGTAACTTATAAAGTGTGAAAAAAATTGTGTAACTTATATTCAAGGAGCTAAATATATATGCAGCTCTAACTAAAAATCAAACAAAAAAACAACAAAAAAAGTGGTATAAGCTGTAAAACATGAAATAAAGCACAACCTCAGTCTCATAAGAGACAAACAAATCAAAACTGCACTGCACTATTATTTTTCACCTCGTATAGATTAGCAAAAGTAAAAAAAAAAGTATGGTACCACTTTAGGGATGAGGGTATACAGAAAGGGACATTTTCATATATTACTGGTAGGAATATAAAGTGTTACTGTCTTCTGTCAATCAAGTTACTAAAATTACAAATGCACATATCCCTTCACCAGCAACTCTAATTCTAGGAATTTATTCCAGGTGTGGCTAACACAGGTACAAAATTTTATACATGTATATTTACACACACACGCACACACACACACACACATTATCCACTGCAGTACTTTATTAACAGTAAAGGAATGGGAACAACCCAACTGATGATCAGTGATCAATAGAGGACTGGTTACAGTAATCTAAACAGGAAGACTATACATCCACAAAACACTGAGGTTTGGAATAAGCTGCAATTTATGAGGGTACTTCAAAATGTTCATGGAAAATAGAATTAAAAGATGTTGTATTTTGGTGCAAAAAAATTTTTTTGAAAACCACACACAAGTGCACAGCAGGCAAGAAGGAGAATAAATATTTGTATTTGCTTAAATATGAATAAAATATCCTGGGAGATGCACAAGAAAATTGATAAATACTGTTTGCTTCTAGGGTAGGGAACCAAATGGTTGGAGAGAATAGGACAGGATAAAGGTATTACACTGCATTAACTTTCGTACCTTTCAATTTTGAACCATACGAATATGTCACCTACACAAAAAGCAAAATTAAAGGCAAGCAAACAAGAAACAACCTTTACTTTTTGTTCTGTCAATCCACACCTCTGTCGGCAGTATTCACTTTTAGTCCTAACATTGAACTGAACCCATTTCCCCCTTTTCTGTGGCCCTATCCAGCAGGACTACTGAACCCTAGATACAATTTTCTTCTCCAAATAGCTCTCATCTTTCTTTTGCTTAAATCCTTTCTCCCATGCAGACTAAATTTTCATGTCATTGTCCCCTGAGTACAGTAACTACCTCAGTACTTGCTCACATCCTGTGGACTAATACAAAAACTAAGTGGACTGCACTTGAGCATTTGGGATTGCCACAGTAAAGCCAGTTTTATTTCCCCAAATTCTAAGATATCTGTATGTCTCTAACACATATACTTTGCCAGCTTCATGCAAATCCTATATCACTAATAACTTATAATCCTGGGCCAGTAAGTTAAGAAACAGGTGTGTTCAGAACACTCAAGAGTTATTTATGTTGGGTGAAGAAGTGGAAAGAAGTTAGATAAATTCACAGCTAGCGATTTGGGGAGCTGTAGGACAATCTGCAGTGGTATTCTGTTTCCCTCTTGGAAAAAAATTCTCAGGGGTCACTGAGGCCAAGCCTGGTTTGGTCAAGATCCCAGAGAACTTCTAATGAAGTCATCTAGAGCCACCAGAAAAGCATTTCCAAACTCTAGTACTAACCTAAAGCAGGAAAGGAACACCCCAAAGCATCTTTAGAGATTGAAATCCATCTGTCGAGCAAATCCTAACAGGGCCACATGGAGAAACAGCTGTGGGAAGAATTCTGAGACCAGCTAGTATCCACTGGAAAAGGCATTTTGGTTTAAAGTGAGAAAGGAGAAAGGAATGAGAACTAATACATACGTTAGGTATTATATTAGTATTATTTTTCTATTCTAGAGATGAGCAAACAAGCATACACCATACGGCACCTGATGAGCCTCAGCTGTGCTCCCACGTCAAAGAGGACAGCTTACTAACCAGGTGAACTGAAGATGTGTCTGCAAACCTTTTCTTTCAAATATTTTGGTAGTTCTAAGTTCTTAAACATCCTGCTTTTAAGTATGATTCACTTTTACCTTTTTCTTGCCCGTCACTGTCCACTCCTTCAGTACTTCACTGGCACTACCTAGAAGGGAAACAATCCACACAGTTAAGCAGGGGTTAATGTCCCTGAATTTTGTGATTGTTGGGAGAATTTGAAAAACACCCAATAGGAAAATTAAGGATCAACTCTCTGAAGTAATGGGGTGACATAACTACGTTATACATGCATACCCTTTTGAATTCCTGCCTATTTAGCTGCACCTTCCCCATGTACTTTCCCCAGGAAGTTCTTCCAAGAAGAAACCTAAGTAGCCAGGCCGCTTGGAAGATTCTTTCATTTGTAGCTCCGAGGCTGAATGCAAGTACAGGTGTCAGCCCGAACATGCCAACACCTCCTCTCCAGGTGGCTATGTTGTTTTGGAGAAAACTGTACACTAACTAGACTCAAACTAATGCAAAGAACAGAGATGAAGAAAATACTTTATACAGTATTCAGACCTGAACTTGCAAGTTCAGGAAAATGGAAACACGGAGACCTAACCTGACATCACTGTACACTGATGTGATAATTTCATGTAGAAGTTTATGAAACATTCCTCAACTTTAGAAATTTGAAGGTTTGTCTAAACTGTCATTCTCCGCTATGTTAGATAAGGAAAGTCACACCTACACCACACACCTGAGCACTTGACAACACCAAACCAAATGATACTGGAGCCTGGAAGAGAATGCTGAGTCCTTAAATTTGCCATCTGCTGCTGGGCCTCTAAGTCACTGTTTTGTTACTGAGTCTCTTAAATTCTTACTCAACCCAACTCCAACATGGTTTCTTCTTAAATATCATTATAGAACATTTTGGGTAAAATGACAGAGCTTTCTCAACTTGTCTCTTTCTTCAGATGTCATATAGTTTATGAATGACTTGCTTCTAGGGCTGAAAGAAGTATCTTGTATTTCTTTTTTCTTTTTCTTTTTTTGACAGGCAGAGTTAGACAGTGAGAGAGAGAGAGACAGAGAGAAAGGTCTTCCTTTCGTTGGTTCACCCCCCAAATGGCCACTACAGCCGGCCAGCACGCTGAGCCGATCCAAAGCCAGGAGCCAGATGCTTCCTCCTGGTCTCCCATGTGGGTGCAGGGCTCAAGCACTTGGGCCATCCTCCACTGCCCTCCCGTGCCACAGCAAAGAGCTGGACTGGAAGAGGAGCAACTGGGACAGAACCCGGAGCCCCAACCGGGACTAGAACCCCAGGTACTGAAGCCACGGCGCCGGCCCCGAAGTATCTTGTATTTCAAAAACTGTCATGAGTAAGGTACTTGGCACAGTGGCTGAGATACCAGTTAGATATTCGTGTCCTGCATTGGCATGCCTGGGGTAAGTCCCTGCTACACTCTAGTGCCCAGCGTCCCCCTACTGTGTACCCTGGAGGGCAGCAGGTCCCTGCCACACATGGGGGAGACCTGGATCAAGTTTCCAGCTCCCTTGCATCTGAAGAGTGGACCCCTGAAGGGGAGCTCTCTCTAAATATATATCTCTTTCTATGCCTCAAAAAAATTATTTAATTCACTAAAAAATACATTACAGGGGGGGCCGACACTATGGCGCAGTGGGTTAACGCCCTGGCCTGAAGCGCCGGCATCCCATATGGGCACCGGTTCAAGACCCGGCTGCTCCACTTCTGATCCAGCTGTGTTGTGGCCTGGGAAAGCAGTAGAAGATGGCCCAAGTCCTTGGGTCCCTGTACCCACAAAGGAGACCCAGAAGAAGCTCCTGGCTCCAGATCGGTGCAGCTCCAGCCATTGCGGCCAGCTGGGCAGTGAACCAGAGGATGAAGACCTCTCTCTCTCTCTCTCTCTCTCTCTCTGTCTCTGTGTAACTCTGACTTGCAAATAAATAAATAAATCTTTAAAAAAATACATCACAGTATGTGATTTTATCCTGTGTTCTACTGTACTGTCTGTCAAACACTGAATTGCTGAATGTTCTTAAAATCTGAAGCAATTTCTATTTGAATAAATACAAATTTATTAAAAAAAATTGAAGCAGGATTACCTTCCATGAATGCTTGCACTGTTTTGTCCACACAGTTATCAAAGTGCTGCAAAACCAGTATGATTTCATTGTTGCTCTTATTTGGAACAATTGCACGCACTGCATTTATCTGGAAAAGATGACAGGGTCATTCTATTCTAACATCAGTAGGTCATGAGAAGGCTGAGGCCTATTACAAGAGTAACAGAAAGTGACATTTTATCTTTAATAGTATGTATCACTCCTTCATGTCAGTGAGAGTACATACAATCATTTCACCAGGGATGATCAACAGATGAGTGGTAAGAGCACAGGAGAATTATTCTCAAAACTTAGGAAAACAGAACATTTCTAGAAATGAAGGTACATACTAGATTCTGTATCCAGAAAGGGTGATTTAATTTAGGTTATCAGTATTAATTCAGCATGAACATTTCTTCATTTTTAGCATACTATAAGGCAAGGTAAAAAGTTGAATGAACCACCACCAGCAACTTAAGACTTTGCTGGGGCCGGTGCTGTGGCATAGTGAGCAAAGCTGCCATCTGCGGTGCCAGCATCTCATATGGGCACCGGTTTGAGACCTGGCTGCCCCACTTCCGATCCAACTCTCTGCTATGGCCTGGGAAAGCAGTGGAAGATGGCCAAGTCCTTGGGCCCCTCCACCCGCATGGGAAGACCCGGAGGAAGCTCCTGGCTTTTGGTTTTGGATGGGCACAGCTCTGACCATTGTGGCCAATTGGGGAGAGAACCAATGGATGGAAGACCTCTCTCTCTGCCTCTCCTTCTCTCTTTGTGTAACTCTGACTTTCAAATAAATAAATAAATCTCAAAAAAAAAAAAAAAAGACTTTGCTATAGCCTTTTTCATAAATATTTCACTTTATATAATTTAACTGTATAAAGGTAATTTCTAGAGATAATTTGTAATTTGAATTATTATAAACTATTTCAGGCATATAAAATAATGAATATCCACTATATGACAAAACAATGCAAAAGAAGCCCCAATAATATCTAATAGATTCCATTTTCCTTCTCTCCAGAAGTTTCTACATTAAATTTAGCATTTTCATATGTATGTTTCCATAGATAATATTTATTATTGTGTTGCATTATATATTATATCATAATGTTTATCATCAATTTCCTTTTTTCACATAGCATTATTTTCTAGACTTTTTTTCCATGTTCATAAACATACCTTTTATTTAACCACTGCAGAGTATTTCCATTACATGATATGAGAGGACTTCCAAAGGTTCACAGAAAATAGAATTAAAAGTAAGTTTATTGGGGCCCTTCACCCATGCGGGAGACACAGTGGCAACTGTGGTTCAATGTGGCTCAGCCCTGGATGTTATGGCCATCTGGGGCTTGAACCAGCAGATGGAAGATTCTCTCTCTCTGTCTCTCCCTCTCTGTAACTCTGCCTTTAAAATACATACATGCATGCATAAATAAATAAATAAATACATAAATGATTAAAAAGGGGGGTGCCAGCATTGCGGCATGGCAGGTTACCGATACGGGCCTCAGTTTAGGTCCCAGCTGCTCCACTTCTGATCTAGCTCCGTGCTAATGGCCTGGGAAGCAGTGGAAGATGGCCCACGTGCTTCGACTCCTGTACCCACATAGGAGACCTGGAAGGATCTCATGGCTCCTGGCTTCAGCCTGGCCCAGCCCCTGCCATTGAGGCCATTTGGGGAGCAAACCATCCAGATGGAAGATTTCTGTCTCCTGCTCTCTCCATAACCCTGACTTTCAAATAAATAAATCTTATTAACAAAAAAGAAAATTTATTTTGGTGCAAAAAATTTTGTAATCCATGCATGTTTTTTAATAATATTCATTTTCGGGGCTGGCACTTGGTGCAGTGGGTAAAGCTGCTGCCTTGAGTGCCAGAATCCCATATGGGTGTTGGTTGGAATCTCAGCTGCTCCACTTCTGATCCAGCTCTCTGCTATGGCCTGGGAAAGCAGTAGAAGATGACCCAAGTCCTTGAGCCCCTTCACCTGCATGGGAGACCCAGAAGAAGCTCTTGGCTTCTGGCTTAGGATCAGCCCAGCTCCAGCCGTTGTGGCCATCTGGAAAGTGAACCAGCAGATGGAAGACCTCTTTCTCTCTCTCTGCCTTTCCTCTCTTTGTGTAACTCTTTCAAATAAATAAATAAATAAATAAATAAATAAATCTTAAAAAAATACTCATTTTCCATTTACTTTTTGAAGATCCCTGAATACTCAATGAATCATTCTCCTTTGTTGGACACTGGTACCATTTCCAACTGTTGGCTACTATAAACAATGGTATAATGGATATTCCTTTGGTTATCTGCTGCTGAGTCCTCACTGCCTAAAACAGTAGTGAGAACACTTTCAGCAATTAAAAAAAATCAGGCCTCTGTGAGCAGTGAGAGAATGTGTCTGTTATATAAAACCACTAATAGACTTCTTGAAGAACAGGACAGCCATATTGCTGTCTAAATTATATTAATTTTGTCAAACTTAGTCTAAAGTTATTTTACATTTTTTTAGATCAAAAACATATTTCATAAGAGCTATATATTATTTTCACTTTTGTATATCAATTTTATATCAGAAACCTTGATAAACTCTTATTAATTCTATTAATTTGTTGCTTTCTTGGATTTTCTCAATAATTATATTGTCTACAAATAAGAGATTTTTCTAACCTTCCAATTCTTATAATTTTTATTTCTTAACTGCATTTTATGAAAAATTAAAGCAGTTCTGATTCTTTTCTGTAGGGAATGGTAGAGAGAAAACAACATCTGAGAGCAAGGCATGCCTATTGTGCCCAGGAAGTCATTGTTTCCAAAGTTTTTTGGTAGAGACAGAAAGAGAGGTTTTCTATTCGCTGGTTCACTCCCCAGATGGCTGCAATGGTCAGAGCTGTGCCAATCCGAATCTTCTGGGTCTCACATATGGGTGCAGGGGCCAGAGCACTTGGGCCATTTTCCACTGCTTTTCCCAGGTGCATTAGCAGGGAGCTGTTTAGAAGTGGAGAAGCTGGGACTCGAACCGGCAACCATTTGGGATGCTGGTGCTGCAGGCCAGGGTTTTACCCCACTGTGCCACAGCACCGGCCCCTAGAGTGACATCTTCAATTCAAATACAAGGATACTGCAAAACATCTTGGAAAATGGAATTTAGAAGTTTATTTTGGTGCAAAGAAACACTGGAATCCATGCATATGAGGGGTGTTCAAAAAGTACATTGAAAAATATTTATTACAAGATGGGTATTTGGCATGGCAGCTACAATGTCTCTTGGGACATCCACATTCTGTATCACAGTGGCTGGGTTCAAGTCCCAGCTCTGCTCTTTTTTTTTTTTATTTTTTTTTATTTTTAAATTTTTTTTGACAGGCAGAGTGGACAGTGAGAGAGAGAGAGAGAAAGGTCTTCCTTTACCGTTGGTTCACCCCCCAAAGGCCACTGCGGCTGGCGTGCTGCAGCCGGCGCACTGCGCTGATCCGAAGCCAGGAACCAGGTACTTATCCTGGTCTCCCATGCGGGTGCAGGGCCCAAGCACCTGGGCCATCCTCCACTGCACTCCTGGGCCACAGCAGAGAGCTGGACTGGAAGAGGGGCAACCGGGACTAGAACCCGGTGTGCCGGCGACACAGGCGGAGGATTTAACCTATTGAGCCACGGTGCCAGCCCCAGCTCTGCTCTTGATTCTGGCTTCCTGGGCACCCTGGGAGGCAGTAGGTGACAGCAAGTACTTGGGTTCCTGCCACCCACATGGGAGACCCACAATGAGTTCTCAGCTCCTGGCTTCAGCCTGGTCTAGTCCTGGTTGTTGTGGGTATTTGGGGAGTAAATGAGCAAATCGGAGATCTCAGTCTCTTTCAGACAAATTAGTTACATAGATAAAATTTGCAAAACTATATTATCAAAGCATTACACATGGAAGTCACATTTTTTGCACCAAAATAAACATCCCTTTCCACAAATTATTTGAAGTTTCCTCATATACTATTAAAAGACCATTTCTCATCTAATTTTAAACATGCATCTATTCTCTTGGCCATATTTTGATCTTTTTTTAAGATTTATTTATTTATTTGAATGTCAGAGTTACACAGATAGAGAAGGAGAGGCAGAGTCTTCCATCCACTGATTCACTCCCCAAATGGCTGCCATGGCTGGAGTTGCTCTGATCCAAAGCCAGGAGCCAGGAGCTTCCTCCAGGTCTTTCACATGGATGCAGGGACCCAAGGGCCTGGGCCATCTTCCACTGCTTTCCCAAGCCATTGCAGAGAGCTGGATCAAAAGTGGAGCAGCCGAGTCTCAAACTGGCACTCATATGGGATGCTAGCACTGCAGGAGGGATGCCACAGTGCCAGCCCCACATTTTGATCTTATAAATATTACTGGTTTTCTTAACAATTCTTATAAAATGACATTACTACTGACAATACTATAATAATATAACATTACTACTAATGATAAAACTACTGATTAACAATTCATTTTTTCCTTTAAACATACCTTTCTAAACATATTCTACTATAATAAGAATACTGTATTAAAAGTCAGTGGGGCCGGCGCCGCAGCTCACTAGGCTAATCCTCCGCCTTGCAGCGCCGGCACACCAGGTTCTAGTCCCGGTCGGGGCGCCGGATTCTGTCCCGGTTGCCCCTCTTCCAGGCCAGCTCTCTGCTGTGGCCAGGGAGTGCAGTGCAGGATGACCCAGGTGCTTTGGCCCTGCACCCCATGGGAGACCAGGATAAGTACCTGGTTCCTGCCATCAGATCAGCGCGGTACGCCGGCCGCGAGGCCATTGGAGGGTGAACCAACGGCAAAGGCAAAGGAAGACCTTTTTCTCTGTCTCTCTCTCTCACTGTCCACTCTGCCTGTCAAAAGAGAGAGAGAGAGAGAGAGAGAGAGAGAGAGAAGAAGAAGAAGAAGAAGAAGAAGAAGAAGAAGAAGAAGAAAAAAAGCCAGTGGGAAGATGGACATTTGGCATACTGGTTAAGATTCTACTTGGGATGCCTACATCCCAAGTGAATGGATTCAAGTCCTGGCCCTGCTCCTGATTCTAGCTCCCTGCAGTGTACACCCTGATAAGCAAGCAATAGTTCAGGAGGTTGGGACCCTGCCACTCATGCAGGAGATCTAGATGGAGTTCTCAGCTTCCAGTTTTGGCCCCACCCAGGCCCATCCTTAACCCAGGAAAAGCCTTGGGCTTCATGGCCCTATATGGTAAAATCCACTTGTTACCTAGCTCAGGTTTATCTCTAGTTTTAGTCCCTTCCATCATTTTGGTTCCTACGAACTTCCCTGACTTCTTGTGTTCAGCTGCGCACTTAAAATATTTGTTGTTTTTCATTCAGAATTTCTAGGTAAGAATGTTTTCAGCTTGTCTAGTCAGTCACATTGCTCAAAAAGAAAGTCTTGGGGCCAGCATTGTGGCGCAGCAGATTACGCCCTGGCCTGAAGCGCCGGCATCCCATATGGGCGCCAGTTCGAGATCCAGCTGCTCCACTTCCGATCCAGCTCTCTGCTATGGCCTGGGAAAGCAGTGGAAGATGGCCCAAGTCCTTGGGCCTCTGCACCCGGAAGAAGCTCCTGGCTCCTCGCTTTGGATCGGTGCAGCTCCGGCAATTGCGGTCAATTGGGGAGTGAACCATGGGATGGAAGATCTCTCTCTCTGCCTCTCCTCTCTCTGTGTAACTCTGACTTGCAAATAAAATAAATAAATCTTAAAAAAAAAAACAAAAAAACAGTCTTTTAGACTTGAAAAGACAGGCTTAGAAAAGTGACCCTCAGAAGTAATAACTAGGGACTGGCATTATGGCATAACAGGTAAAGCCTCCGCCTGCGCCCCAAGTATCCCAAATGGGCGCCAGTTTGATTCCTGGCTGTTCAACTTAGTCCAGCTCCCTGTTAGTGCACCTGGGAAAGTAATGAAGGATGGCCCAAGTGCTTGGGCCCTGCACCCATGTGGGAGACCCAGAAGAAGCTGTTGGCTCCTGGCTTCCGCCTGGCCCAGCCCCAGCGTTGAGGCCATATGGAGAGTGAACCAGTGGATGGAAGACCTCCCTCTGTCTCTTCCTTTCTCTCTTTGTAACTCTGCCCTTCAAATAAGTAAAATAAATCTTAAAAAAAAAAAAAAAAAAGAAGAAGAACAAGAACAAGAACAAGAAGTGGTGCAGCAGAGACAGTATTACAACTAAAGTCCTTTTTTTAGTAGTCCTGGGTTCCCACCCTTCTATGCTTTGTTTAACAATTAATTGTACAATGATAAGGTTTAAAACCATAAAAGTGGAAAGGTATATAGTATACAATTCAAAGAGGGTGAATTCACACATTTTTGAGATGAGAAAAAAAGTTACCATTACTCCCTTAAAAATGAACTTAAAGCAAAACTTACAGATTTAAGGATAAAGCTAAGAGTCTTATGATGTGTCTTAAATGTGAAAATGAAGAGTCTTAAATGTGAAAATGTTTATATTATTGAACTACTGTGTAACTTCACAATTAACAATATACTTTTTAACAATGAGACAGAAAACTTTTACATTTTTCTCCAGATAGCTTGTTATAGATTATATTACTAGAAACCCTTATTTTCTTCCAAAGGAATAACTAAAAGACCTATTTCTCTTTTGCTCTGAAGTCTCCTGGACTTAGGAATGTTCTTCATGGGGCAGGTGTTTGGTGCACAGCTAAGACTCTACTTGGGGTATATATGTGTATGTGCACATGTGCATGCTTAGTGATCAAGTCTACCACTTGGGACGCCCATATCCCACACTGGATTGTCTGGTTCAAATTTTACGTACTCCACTTCTGATCCAGCTTCCTGTTAATGCATGTCCTGGGCAGTAGAGTACTTGGGTCCCTGCTTTTCATATGAGATACTCAAGATTGAGTTCCTGGCTTCTGGCTTTGGCCTGACCCAGCCCCAAGTGTTGTATGTGGGGAGTGAAGCAACTGATGGAAAAATCTTTGTCTACCTCTGTGTCCCTTTTTCAAATAAAGTGAAAATAAATCAATAAATTTTTTTTAAAAAAAGATGCCACTTGGGATGCCCACATCCCATATTAGAGTGCCTGGTTGGCACAGGGCTCCATTCTCAATTCTAGCTCCCTGTGAATGTACACCCTAGAAGGTAGAGGTAATGGTTCAAGTAGTTGGGTCCCTATCACCTCCCTACCACCTACATGGGAGGCCTGGGTTGAATTCCTGGGAACCAGGAATTCGCATAGCAAACTAGAGGGTGGCAAGTCTCTCTTTGTCCATAAATAAGATAATTTTTTTTAAAGGAATGTTCTGTAAGTACATGGGAAGGTCTTACTCAGACGACAGAATGTTAAAGAATGTTGCCAAATGACATATACACTCAGCCATATACATAATACTTGATATAACATTAATTATTATTAAATGTCTTATTCAAGAAAATTTAGGATAAATATATTTGGAGATACGCAAAGAAAATCATGTTTGCACTTAATAAGACCTGATTGCTCGGAATCTTCATAGTGGTGACTTGGCAGGTAGTGATGCCCGTCTGCTGTTTAAATTCCACTTTTACAATGAGTTTGCATAACCACTGATTGTATTAGCACCTGGATTTTCCCATTTAGTAGCCACTAGTCTTACCTTCTCTTTCATGTTCTCAAAAGCTCCTCCCTGAGCCAGGACAGTGTTGGACTGTAAATCAAAAATGAATCCTGATGAATCTGAAAGAATAAGAAGGGAAAAATATATTCAGTGTGATCCAAAACTAATATGCAAGCCATCCTTGGGAGGGAGGGGCCAAGTCTGGCTTGTGTGTGTGTGTTTAAGGATTTATTTATTTATTTGAAAGTCAGTTACAGAGACAGGGAGAGGGAGAGGGAGAGGGAGAGGGAGAGGGAGAGGGAGAGGGAGAGGGAGAGGGAGAGGGAGAGGGAGAGGGAGAGACAGAAGAGATCCTCCATCCACTGCTTCACTCCCCAGATAGCCACAGCAGCTGGGCTGGGCTGGGCAAGGCCAGAGCAAGGAGCCAGAAACTTTTTCCTGGTCTCCCACATGGGTACAGGGCCCAACGACTTGGGCCATCTTCTGCTGCTTTCCTAGGTGCATTAGCAGGGAGCTGGATCAGAAATGGAGAGCCAGGACTTGAAAAGATACTCATATGGGATGCTGGCATTGTGGGCAGTGGCCCTAACTGGCTATACTCTTAAGTCTAGCTATTTTTCTCCCATAAAACAATTAACAACAACTTAGTTGCTATTTTGAAAATTCTAGTAAGTGACTTACAACTATATTTTAAGTTAAAATTACAAAATAAAATTTGATTTTAATAGAAACTATTATAGGTTGTGGAAAACACTAAAGGCATCAACTGTATTACACTACCCTGTAATCCTTGCTTCTTTCTTAATTATGTCACCTTAATTTAAAAGGCAAGTATTAAATAGCTTCTCATGGTAAAATTTAACACTAAAGAATCTGAAAATAAGGGCTGGCACTGTAGTACAGCAGGTTAAGCCTCTGCCTGAGATGTTCCACTTCCGAACCAGCTTCCTGCTAATGTGCCTGAGAAAACAGAGGAAAATGGCCCAAGTATTTGGGCCTCTGCACCAGTATGGGAGACCCAAAAAATGATCTGAGCTCCTGACTTTAGCCTGGCCCAGCCCTGGCTGTTGCAGCCATCTGAGGAGTGAACCAGCAGATGAAAGATCGATCTTTCTCTCCTTCTCTCTCTCCTCCTTCTCCTCCTCTCTGTAACTCTGCTTTTCAAATAAATGAAAAAGGAATCTTTATTATAAGTGGGGATGGAGGCATAAAAGTAATTTCCAACTTCTAGAATGTATTATACTTTAAATCCTGATATTTTATGAATTCCATAGATATAACATTCATGTTTGTATCCCCAAAGTAGTGCTTGATGAAGCACTATAAAAACAAAATCAACACATGAACAAATCACTATGATGAATTACAAAGAAAGTTCCAGGTTTCGCTGTACTGGAGAAGGACTAACTACAGATTTAATCTTTTTTTGACAGGCAGAGTGGACAGTGAGAGAGAGAGACAGAGAGAAAGGTCTTCCTTTGCCGTTGGTTCACCCTCCAATGGCCGCCGCGCTGCAGCCGGCGCACCACGCCTATCTGAAGGCAGGAGCCAAGTGCTTCTCCTGGTCTCCCATGCGGGTGCAGGGCCCAAGAACTTGGGCCATCCTCCACTGCACTCCCTGGCCACAGCAGAGAGCTGGCCTGGAAGAGGGGCAACCAGGACAGAATCCGGCGCCTTGACCGGGACTAGAACCCGGTGTGCCAGCGCCGCAAGGCGGAGGATTAGCATACTGAGCCGCAGCGCCGGCCCAGATTTAATCTTTACCAGTGACTGTGTGATCAATAAATTACTGCTGCTTTAACCCTCAGCAACTTTGCTTTACTCCCAGGAGACAGAGTGCTGTTCACACTCTGACGTGTGTGCCTCTCTCCCGGGGAGTCCTATAACTGTTCCTGATCCCTGCACTGTATTTGGGAGCAGCTTGGGAATCAGAATTTCAACAAAGGCAAGTAAGGGAAATTTTGAGAAAATAACTATAAAGAACACCACAGTAACATTCTAGTACACTTTCCAAATTCCTTGGCTATTATTATAGATGTGTTTTAATTAAAGCTCCTTTTACAGCTTAGTCTTTATCCTGTGTTTCAAAATGCCTCCTAGTTGCTATGGGAAAACCGATAATTTATAAATTTGATGACAACACTTTGGTACTAAAAGTGGAAAAGAGGACATGAATAGAGCTTATGTCATTTCAAGGGAAACTATACTTGCCAATTACCAATGAAGCTTGAATTAATTTAGATTTTTAAAAAAGATTTATTTATTTATTTGAAAGTCAGAGTTACACAGAGAGAGAAGGAGAGGCAGAGAGAGAGGGAGAGAAAGAGAGAAAGAAAGAGAAAGAGAAAGAGAGAGAAAGAGAGAAAGAGAGAGAGAGAGAGAGAGATCTGCCATCCATTGGTTCATTTCCCAATTGGCCGCAACGGCCAGAGCTTCTTTCAGGTCTCCCACGCGGGTGCAGGGGCCCAAGGACTTGGGCCACCCTCTACCGTTTTCCCAGGCCACAGCAGAGAGCTGGATTGGAAGTGGAGCAGCCAGGACTTGAACCGGTGTCCGTATAAGATGCCAGCATTGCAGGCAGTGGCTTTACCCACTACGCCACAGCGCTGGCCCAGAATTAAATTAAATTTAACCTCTGTTAATACTGGCAGTTTCTAGACTGTTGCTTAAATGAAAAATCAGGCTCCACTTAGGAAAACTCAGTATTTAAACTTGAGTCTTCCAGATTATTGCATAATATGGCTAACACCGATTTATTTATTTATTTATTTTTGACAGGCAGGATGGACAGTGAAAGAGAGAGAGACAGAGAGAAAAAGGTCTTCCTTTGCTGTTGGTTCACCCTCCAATGGCCGCTGCAGCAAGCATACTATGGCTGGCGCAGCGCGCTGATCCGAAGCCAGGAGCCAGGTGCTTCTCCTGGTCTCCCATGCAGGTGCAGGGCCCAAGAACTTGGGCCATCCGCCACTGCACTCCTGGGCCACAGCAGAGAGCTGGCCTGGAAGAGGGGCAACCGGGACAGAACCAGTGCCCCAACCGGGATTAGAACCCGGTGTGCCGGTGCCGCAGGAGGAGGATTAGCAGGCGGAGGATTAGCCTATTGAGCCGCGGCGCCGGCCCCAATTATCTTTGTTAATTAAAAACAGACACAGCATATGAAGATGGTGATTCTCTATATCCAAGGTCCTATCTAGAACCATCTCAGAATCCTATAGATCAGCCAAATGTGAATATTCCCATTTATCCTCACCCAAAGGGATATTAAGGAACAGTGAAATGATACAAAAAAACACCAATAATTATTTATTACAGAATCATACTACCAACTTCTTTTGGGGGAGTCTACATAAAAATGAACTACTAGTATTACTAGCCTCTTATACGTCATCTAACAGGTTTTTTTCCCCTTTTAACAACACACCAGCTGATACAATGTACAAGGAAAACAAAGGGTAGTTCTGCAAACACTCGGTTATTGCCCAAAACAAATTAGCCTAACTGCTGTTAGGGTTTATCTGGCACACTAATTAGGATATTGATTTAAAATACATAAAGCAGCTATTTCAGTTGGGATCCCAGCAGGAAATCTGAGTAGCATTTAATAAAGAGACTACTTCCAAAGGTGCTGGCAGGGACTCGGGAAACCACGAGAACAGCACTCACAGCAGCAGAACTGAGTTTCAGAGTGTGATCCAGACAAAGCATCTCTGCCTTATCCAAGGTGGAGGGCACCCTCCAGACAGCTGCAGCCTCTGGTCAAAGGCCACAGTCAGCTCAACAGTTACCCCTCAGGGAATGATCTGGGAGAATAAATAGCCTTCCTTCACCCTCCTCCGGGTCTCTGGAGCTCCTGCTCATGCTGCTGGGCAGCCAAACCCAACCAATCTGAAAGGCAAGGGAGCCACTGAGTTGTCTACTCAAGTCAGCACGCCAGGGCACAAATGCCAAATCTGCATGCACCGTAAATCATAAGCTCATCAAAAAGAGAAAGCAATAATCTGCCATCTTAACTTGTCTTCTCACTAGCAGTGCCTTTTGAAAACTTAAAGCAACGACTCAAGTAGATTCAAGACATTACTTCAAAGAACTGGCACTTAAGTGCCCCTCAGTTTTATGGAGAAAGTAATTTTTAATTCCCATCAACAATATTTACTGATCTAATAACTCATAGTTTTTTCACGAAAAGAAAGCCTAACTTCACCTAACTCCAATGGTAAGAAATAAAGTTGTGATATCGGCAGGCAGATAGGATTAAATCGATTAGATTTGTGAGCTGAAGACCACACCTTGGCTCTGATCCTTTCGAGATCTCACGCCCCTACCTGACTTCACCTGTACACCCACCTGCCAATTAGACTACATAACCACTCCCCTTTGGAAGTAAATAAAGGCCTGGAACACAGTGGGCCTTCTCCTTTCTGGCCGCTGCTGTCTGCTTTCCTGCCTGCAATACGTTATTTGTGACCGCTCCTAACTGCACACTTGCTCCACGTGGCTCCCAACCTACTCTTTGCCTGGTATGGACCCAACTTAGTTTCTAGACTTCTTTCTCCCTTAAATAAAGCCCTAAATTTCACTAAATAGATACTAAAAACTCTACCATGTTGCCTGTTTCATTTATAAGCAGCCCATATTCAGAATTCTTATCTAATATACAGCAAGAACCCTCAAAATTTTGAGCAAAGGTCCCCGACTTCAGTTACATTTCATCTCTATATTCTATTTGCTGGTTAACTTCCAAAATGGCTCCAACAGCTAGGGCTGGGCCAGGCCAAAGCCAGGAGGTAGGAAATCCATCCAGGTCTCCCACGAAGGTAGCAGAGTCCACATACTTGGGTCTTCATTCACTGCCTTCCCATTCACATTAGCAGGAAGCTGGATCAGAGGTAGAGCAGACAGGATTCAAATCAGCACCCCAATATGAGATGTTGGCATCCAAATGGCAGCTTACTCTGCTGAGCAGCCCCGGAAATCAAATTTTTTGAAAGATTTATTTATTTTTTTGAAGATTGCAAAGAGAGATTTTTCCATCCACTAGTTCAGTCTCCAAAGGCCACAACAGCCAGGGTTGGGCCAGACTGAAGCTAGGAGCCAGGCGGCTTCTTCCAGGTCTCCCATG